TTTTGTTTTTTTATCCGCCATCTCTATCTTTCTGTTGCTTGACTCGCTAATGCTTGGCTCTCTCCTCCACATCATGAGTAGACACGCCCCTTACTGCTGATGGGCTACAAGTTTGTTTTGCTATTCGGCCCGAATCAGTTTTCTAAAGCGTTTTTGAAAAATCGCTTACCCCACCTTTAATTAAAAGTCACATTGAAATTCGAGTCATTTTTTTTTTCAATAGGAATCTACATGATCGAGAATTTTGTTAGAAGGTGTGGCCACATTTACAATAGTTTACAATGGTTTGCCACGGTGTAAGTTGTTCACGCAAATTCACTGTGCTTTTGCACTCGAAATGTCAGTAATGTAATAGTTCACCACAAAATGAAAATTCTGTCACCATTTACTCACCTTCATGTCATTCCAAATCTGTACAATATTTTTTTCCATGGAACACAAAAGGTAAAATTCAGCGTAGTTCACACATTTAGTGTTCACTGGTCTTTCCATACAATGAAAATGAAAGCTTACCAGTGGCTGTCATTCTCTGAAAATAACAAAAATGGACCATAAAAATAGAGAAACTCTGTGTAATGTTTCGCATCTTCTGAAGTCACATGTGTGAGACAAAGACTAATTCATTAGTCAGGGGTGATCTCCTCTGCAGCTTTCTCATGACTTCTCATCTGCAGCAGGTCTCATCTCATTAACATTCATGTATACTGAAATATCACACATCAAAATGTGACACGCCAAATTTTAATATACACATATTCATGACTGCACAAAAGGAAAATTGCACTTAAGGAACATCAGAGGTTAGATTTTAGGTAAGCTTTTCAGTCTGTTCCTCACATAAAGCTACTGTATGGCTTCAGAAGAGTTGGAATACACTTTATGAAATAAAACTTGTATTCAACTTTTATGGTGCTCTCTAAATCATTAAGGTTTTGGAATGACATGAGGGTATGAGAATATATGATGACAGAAATTAATTTTTTTGGCTGAACTTATCCCTCTAAATGCTTTAAATTTGATTTATAGAAATATAAGATAGTTTTGTTTTTGTGGCCACTACATAATTGTTATCCATTTGTGTTGTTTCATAATATGTTATTCATAATTGTGTTATTTCACATGTTCCTACATGAACTCTATGACCTGTAAATCTAATTAAAATGTCTCATTATGTCAAACAGGCTAATAGGTTGCATCAGATCACAATTTTATCACGGGATTTAAAACAAAAATTACAGGAATTAAAAAAAAAAAATCACAACACTGTGATTATGACTTTGGCTTGACGATTAAGAAATACAAGATGGCATAGCAAACAGCTATTCTTTCTCGGGAAATTACAGTTAAGGGTAAACATAACCATGCTGTCAAAAGTCATGCTATAATGCTGATATTCAGTAATAGGTTTCAGGGTTTTTTTCGTATCAGTCTTTCTGCCTTTGCTATGGTCTTAATGTCTTATGTTGCATAAGAAAGAAAGTTAAAGCTTTATTTCCTAATAGCAATATATCACAAAGGGGGACACATATACAGCAAACAAAAAAATGACCTAAGACTGAGCCTTGTGGTACACCATTCTTATATAATATTAATAATAATAATAATAATAATAATAATAATAAGAAGAAGAAGAAGAAGAAGAAGAAGAAGAAGAAGAAGTTATCATTGTTTTTGTTTAAGTTTGAGTACTCAGTCACACAAATGCAGTGGTAGTGTCCAGAATATGAAAGCTGGCTATGTAACCTCTGTTTGTCATTAAGACAGACAGGTTGACAAAGACACTACAATCACAACAGTCTAAGTACTTACATGGAGAACAAGACCTCTCTTTGACTCATCCCCTCATCGACAAACACTCAGAAACCCACTAATAATCTCAGGTGTACAAAAGATCATCATAGTGCTCCAGCCAGGACAAAAAAAGTGGTATTTTTTGTAAAAGAAAAGAAAAAGAGTCTATGATTATTTTCTAAGCAAGAGAGTTGCCTGTGTCTCGCTGGCACGTGGGAGTATTAGTTGATGGATTCAGATACCACTTTCCCGTCACTGCACTCTAAGAAGTCAACAATCAGCTCACCGTGATCGGATTTAACAGAGATTAACTCTGTCATGTACCTCAGGACTACTACTCTCTCATTTATCATTTAGAGTCGAGATGTCCAAAACATTCCTTTCTGATTACATTCCTGAACGTAATCTACAGAGGTATGGAGAGCGATACCACAGACAGGGACCGCAATACCAGGGGACCGATGTCTGTCCTCACTGCGGCGGGGTGATGATAAACGAGGCACAAAATGTGCTCTGATTCCCAGCTTCCCAGCAGCAGTGGAATGGATTCAGAGCTAAAATATTGACTTAAAGCATAATGACAAATAACAAGCATAACGTAATAACGTAAATTACAAGCACTCAGAAACCCATTAATAATCTCAGGTGTACAAAAGATCATCATAGTGCTCCAGCCAGGACAAAAAAAAGTGGTATTTTTTGTAAAAGAAAAGAAAAAGAGTCTATGATTATTTTCTAAGCAAGAGAGTTGCCTGTGTCTCGCTGGCACGTGGGAGTATTAGTTGATGGATTCAGATACCACTTTCCCGTCACTGCACTCTAAGAAGTCAACAATCAGCTCACCGTGATCGGATTTAACAGAGATTAACTCTGTCATGTACCTCAGGACTACTACTCTCTCATTTATCATTTAGAGTCGAGATGTCCAAAACATTCCTTTCTGATTACATTCCTGAACGTAATCTACAGAGGTATGGAGAGCGATACCACAGACAGGGACCGCAATACCAGGGGACCGATGTCTGTCCTCACTGCGGCGGGGTGATGATAAACGAGGCACAAAATGTGCTCTGATTCCCAGCTTCCCAGCAGCAGTGGAATGGATTCAGAGCTAAAATATTGACTTAAAGCATAATGACAAATAACAAGCATAACGTAATAACGTAAATTACAAGCAAGCGGTAAAGCATAACGACAAATTAGAAAATAGTACATAGCACAGAGGTGCTTAGGCCGATAGATGCTATCAACAGGGGTTAGCACACTTTTTTCACTTTATTTTCAATGTGCCAATATTAACATTATGGTTATCATTAAGATAAATTATGAAACTTCATCAAAATAATTTTCTCATCAATCATCATGTAATGCTGAATATTAAATTGTGTTCTGCTTACTAATCTCCTGCCCATCTTATGCTTTTTAAAAGGCTAACACTTGTAAAAACCAAAGCACGAAGCACCTACACCTACACACTGTGGAAGATGGTAATACTTTTTACATGCTTGCATTTCATATTCACCATCACAAGATTTTTTTAATAAATGATAATGGCTCTACCGAGTCTAATATATCAGAGACATGTGATGAATTTTGCCACTCATACAGACTCCTGAGGGAGGGAAGCGTTTATTTTGAGGTCACGTTGAAGTGGAAAAGGTAAATGGTGTTCTGCCAGTGGGGCTCTGAGCCTCGCACACACCGAATTATAGATAGCATGAGCTGTTAGAGTGATGGATGCTTTGACTGTGCCATGTGAGATGGATATTTCATACCCCTCATCTATTTTCGGGAAATGTAGAGAGCACAGCTGAATTTTGACTAATGTAGTTTTTAGGAAGAAACATGCATTTGCCACACAAGTACAACAGATGAAACATCAAGCTTACACTTTAATGCTAATGCTTTAAGTACTAGCATGGTTGTGCACTATTCAATATTAAATTTTAAATCACAATTTAATTTCTTAATTTGACATTAATTTGAATTGAGGTATAGTAAACAAGCTGCAAAATAATCAATGCATGACATGATAATCAATGCATATATAAACTTCTTGTCAAAAGTTTGGAATAATTAGGGTTTTTATGTTTTTGAAAAAAAGTATCTTATGTTCACAAAAGTTCTGTCATGAAACTCTAGATGGCGCAGGCCGATAGCTTCTAACTCAATCTGATATAATCACATTAATATTCACATGGCACAGCTGATTGGTTTCTTTTTGCATCTAGCAGTTGCAGCATGTTTCAGAAACCATCCTCCTTCCCCAGCTCCACCTGTATAGATCTGCTATGGGGTGATTTCATGTATGTTATGTATGGGGATTATTTTATATGTGTTATATGTGCAGCAGCAGTATTTCTTACATGCTCACAGCAGCATATCTGTGGATGTATTGGCAGTAGTACGTTTCGTTACTTGCACAGCAGGAGCAGTGTATAGCAGATCTATTCCGCAGAGACAAACACATTAACAGTGCCATGTATATCGCCATGCTAAACTCTCAGAGAGTTGTCATGACAGAAATTAAGTTTGATGTTATAGTGGAAGGGCGCTTTAATTTACCACAGCCAATTTAATTTCAGTATAATTTACTTCATTTCAATTTCCAATTCAACATCCTGCAGCCTGCTAAATGTTCAATTCACATCCACACTCATGAACCGAAAGAAAGACATTCTTAAATTCTGAAATTTGTGACCCTGGACCACAAAACCGCTGGGGTATATTTGTAGCAATAGGCAAAAAAAAAAACATTGTATGGGTCAAAATTATCGATTTTTCTTTTATGCCAAAAATCATTAGGGTATTAAATAAAAATCATGTTCCATTAATATATTTTGTAAATTTCCTACTGTAAATATATTAAAACTTAATTTTTGATTAGTAATAGGCATTGCTAAGAACTTCATTTGGACAACTTTAAAGGCGATTTTCTCAATATTTCGATTTTTTTGCACCCTCAGATTCCATTTT